CCACTACTCCACTATTGCATTCCATGACTACTTGGTGGACTGGGGCTTTTAAAAGCAACCACTATTCCATTCCATCCCACTTTAGCCCCATTTCACAGATGCAGAAACTAAGAGGAGGTTAACTCATCCAAGGTAACATAGGTTGTAAATGACAGAGTTGCAATTCAGTCTTAGCCAAGCTGGCCCCCAAAGCCCTTCAAACCACTCTTCCATGCTGCCACACTGGAAACCAAGATTCTCATCTTTGACCTTGGAACCCCAATTTTTCTCACTATTTTAATCACATTAAAATGAATGACTGAAAGTTCCAATACTCAGCCTTCCCAGTCCAATTCATTCTTCAAATATGCACTGAAGCCCCATTTGGGCACAGCACAATGGTGGACCTGGGAGGAATACAAAATCCAACATTGTTCATGTCTTTAAGACAGCAGTGAGGACAAGTGACTGGTGTGTGCGTGTGTGAGAGAGAGAGCATGCACATGTCAGTAGAAGTGAAAATAATTCACACCCTCAGAACTTCTTCATTCATAAAAAGGTATGAAGGGACATAGCATTACTTAAGCTAGATTTTGGAAGATGTATAGATGTAGGTTTTTATGAAAAAGGAATGGAATTCTAGCCTATGGTAACAATCAGGAACAGGTGCACATAGAGAACAGAAAGCCCATTCAAACAGGCTGGAGTTACAAGCAGTGACTATCCATCCTGATTTGCCTAAAACAGTATTGCCTTATCCTTGCTTCCTTCCCCAACATAATTATTACTAAGGCTCCTTTCACACCTAAGTGTTCCATTGGAAAATTATATGGTCTCCCTAAGTGCAGGGTATAATCAGGAAGTAGGAGGAAACTAGTCTAGAAAGATAAAACTGCATAGTGGCCCAAGGAAGACCTGTGCCAAAGAATTCAGACTCTTTTATAAACACTGAGACATCATTAAAGGTTTAATAGCATGTATTATAAGAGGATCAGGCAGCATTTACACTCACAGAGAGGTACAAATATTAGCTGTAAGGGTTTTGCAATAATTCTGGAAACTTAATGATGACCTGGATCATGAAAGTGGCTGTTAAGAGATGATGAAGGAGATAAATGGAAAGACACTATAACTTGGCCAAGACGTTGGCAACATTGTAAAATAAACACATAGCGAATATTTTTGGCTTTATAGATCATATGACCTCTGTCATAAGTATATTCAACTGAATAATTCTGTCTCTGTGGCTGAAAGTATCGGTATGTATAATGTAAGTGAAAAAATGAGCTTGTGTTCCAATAAAACTTTATGATGATCCTGAAATTAGAATTTCATATAAATTTAATGTACATGAAATATTGTTATTATTAGATTAATTTCAACAACTTAAAATGGAAAATGAAACATTAATAGCACATGGGCCACACAAAGGTAGTTGGTAGGCCAGAAGCCAGCATTAGGTATGCTGATCCCTGCCTAGCTAGAGCCTGTACTCAGACCTACTAATCACATCAGTGATTCTGTCCTTAACTAAGAATCCTGTCATAGGATAGTCCCAGTATTATAAAATCACCAGTTTTAATTCTTGGCAAGAACTTCAAAGTACCTTGGGAAATGGAACCCTATTTGAGATAGGTCGACTGAGAAAAAGTGATTCATCTTGTCAATCTTCAAAATATGCCCTCATTTAGATATGTTTACTTTGCGACAGCTTCATAAATTATGTTGCAGTGTTTTACACTAAAAGTGAATGTACAATTGTTCAGAAGCAATTGCTTTAGCAATAAAGAAACAGGTGATTCAAAGGACATGCTTTGCAGGTTATGTACGACTTTCATTATATTATACATAGAACATCCATGTAGATTATAAAACCAAATACCTTTTTCTATAAACGCCACCATGAAACTATGCCTTGAAATTAGCATTCACTTGGCAAGGCAGGAACAGAGAGGGTTGATAGGTGAGTGATGTACATGCAAAATGTATTTACTGAGGCTCCTTCTCTATTTTAGAATCTTAAGTACTTGCAACACATGCAGCATGACCGTCTTGCTACTGCTTTCTACTTCTGTCCAGTATTCAACCACATACACTCACATGCTCCTTCCCCATTCTGTTTTTCAAATTAACATTCCTTGGACTTTGCTTCTTCCCTTCCTTAAATGTGTGAAACGTAATGTACATCTGACTCTAGTATTAAAGTCATAAAAAGATGGGCAAACTGCAGTGTAAAGTCAAGCCTAAAACTTAAGTTTTTCTTCCATTTCCAAAAAACAGCATGAAATTTAAACAATAACACAATGTCAAGTAATAAAATATGGACGTGGAACTAGAATTACTACAATCCAAAGCTTACCTTTAATAATTAAATATTCAGTTACCACATCGGGTTACTCAGAGGTTTTCCTTAGTCTAAATCCTCACTGCACAGCTTTGAGCAACATTTAACTCCCACTGCACGAGGAATCTAACTTTACAGGAGATGAGCTGGTGATGTTTGAGGGCAGAGAGAAAGGTTAATAATACCTCTAATAAATTTAAAGGGAACACTTCTCAAGGGAAATGAAATCTGGTACTTAATTCCTTAGAGTTTCAGGTATCTTAACAAAATATGCCTTCTCCAAATCAAGTTCAAAATTAAAAAATCAAACCTGCATCTAAAGATACTTAGTATTCTGTTGTCTATCTCTTTCCCTAAAGGTTTACACGGTCACTTTTCCATTTGTATCTGCAGTTCTAGAACATCCATTTATCAAGAGACACTATCACTCATGGGTGTTTTTCAGGCACTAAAACCCTCTCATTCTCTAATCTTCCAACTACTAACATCCCCTATTACTACCTGTTGCAAGGGCAGCAAACAATAGCAGGTAGAGTACTATTCACAGAGAAGAGACACACAGGTATAGTTCTGAGCATTGACTTTGTCTGGGCCTTGCTGCTTGTTCCAGCCTACTTGGTATCACCACTCTGCACAACACCTACTAAAGAGTCTTCTAGCTCTGGCTACTTCCCGGGTGGTAGATTTGTCAACACAAACTGTATCTACCAAACCCTAAGAGTTCAAAGTCAAAAAACCTGGGCAGAAGTCCAGATCTGTGGCTTATTGACAGTCTAGTCATGAATACATTAAATTCTTTGAAGCTTAGGTTCCATGTCCGTAAGGATAAGAGTAACAAAACCATTATTCTCTTAGGGACTCTTAGGAATATTAAATGAATTATGGTAGAGACTACCAAACAATGAGAGGTAGAATGAAATAGGCTTTAATTAACCTATGAAGAGTGGCCTAGATCTCAGGCCCATCAAAGTGACCCTGACTGACTAGTGAATATTAGCAAAACCTGGGAATAAAGTAAAGTGGGAAGAAAGGCTAGAGAGGAGAAATTTAAATAGCAGAAAGAAACTGCAATCAATGTGGGTGAAAGGGGGCCGAGTACAGGATACCGTCCTAGAAGCATACAAGTACTGTTATGTTCTGTAATCCAAATTTGCTAATAAAGTGCTCAGTGAAGTATTTTTATCACTATATCTTTTATTACATGCATGTGTGTGAATCACCATATTTTTAAGTAAAAGGGTTTTGTTATTAATATTTTTTGAGCCAGAGTCTCACTATGTAGCCCAGGCTGACTTCAAATTTGCAGCAATCCTCCTGCCTCGGCCTGTGAGTCCTAGGATTATAGGAGTGTGTCATCATGTTCAGATGTTATTAATGCTTTTTGTTCTGTTTCTCTATATAAACATCTCCTCACATTTTATTTCAACTCCAAGAATGTTCAAGAAGCTATTAAGTGCAAACATTCTGTTCCCCAGGCACCAGACACACAAAGATGAATTTACCCATGAATTTAGATGTATCAATCACTACTTCAAGTTGAACAGCCCTATTAATCTCAACCAATCATAGAAGATAAAGAGGGAGACAAAATAATTCACCCAAACACTAAAAGTGATTACCTCAGAGTGATGAGATTAAGAATGATATTTTCTGCTACATTATATTCTATATGCTCCAACTTTTTTTTTAAACCATGATCTGCTTGGTTTAATTCAGTTTAAACTGGGGGCATAAAAGAACATGTCCTTTAAGCTGGGAACTTTTATACAGGCGATAGAGTTTATTGCAACGAGATTCTGCCTGTGGACTTGTAGGGGAAATTAATCATCTTTTAAGTAGATGTTAATAAGGACACAGCCTCAGAAATAATCTAACGCAACTTCTGCTTTTTTTAAAGGTATGAAAATTAAAGAGTCAGAGTTGAAATCATTTGTTTAAGATCTCACAAACAGTAACGGTTTCAGGACAAAAATGAAAGTGTTATGGCTTCTAGTTCATCATCTGTTCACTATAGCATTTGAATTACACTTTAAAAATCCATCACCATCCTGGGAGCATCTACAGTGTGTGAGGTGCTACAGCAATATGAAGATGGGTACAATCTAGTCTCTGGACTCAGGAGAGAGTTTTAAAATAAAAAAAACAAACTGAAATGAGTCTTCTTTTATTATAGAAATCTTTAGTAACTACTGGTGAAATATAATATTTAGTTTTTAAAATTTCCCTTCTGAAGGGATCCACATTCAGTTAGTTAACATTCAAGGACCAGTCATGAGCTATAAATCCTAACTTGGAAGGGAAGGAGGGGAATGAAAGCTGGCAATCAATTATCCTTCAAAGTCTAATTGTGAACTTAATTACAATCAGGCATTTCTTTTGACCTCCTGTAGTGCAAACTCAGCTCCTATCCCTTAGAACACAGGGAATTAGACTTTTTTCTGTCTGTTTTTAATTTTCCTCTGAACCTGCGATTTGAGCCCTGAGCCCTCCTTTTCCTTCATGGCATTCAAGTGCTCTTCTATTAAACACTTTGAGGGCCAGGTCTGACATCACCCTTGGTAACAGCGCAGAGCAGCTTCCTACCCGGGATCTACCAGCTATTACTTTGCTGCACCTCACCGCACCTGACATGTCCTGCAGGGAGAGTTCAACCTCCCCCTGAACTTCGTATCCTTACCTTGGGACAGCATCGCTACTCAGGTCTCCCCTTCCGGAGACAGAACTGGCCGTCGGCGGTGCATTCTGGGACACGGGCCGTGGAGACGGACTTGGGGACCCATGGGGATCCCCGCTCCAGGGGGTGGAGCGGGCATCGGATCCCCACCAAATCCTACAGCCGGCGGGGGAAGCTAGGAACTGGCCCTAAGATAAAACGCCGCGTCATTTAAAGCAGGGAAACTGCCAACTATCACATTCTACAACAGAACCACTCACCTGCAGGGACCCCAGCAGCAGCAGTCGCTCCCCAGAGCCACTAGATAGCCCGTGCCTTGGAGGATTCATAGCTGCTGCCGGCATCTACGCTCTTTTCTAGCCCCAAGCCAGAAAGGGCAGGTCCTGGGGCGCTGTGTATTGGAGGACCGAGCTGTCACTCATCCGCGGTCCCGCCTGACCTACCGCTACCAGCCGAGGTCCTTTCCGTTTCGCAAAACCCTGGGGTAAGAAGCGAGGCTTTGATTGGCTTACCGAGGAGACGAACCTATGGCTGGACCAATAAAACGATAGCGTCGGAGCTGGGGGGCGGGCTTTGGCCTAGGGAGCTCGAGAAACAAACCCTGGAGCAGCGCCCGGGCGCTAGGGAAATTTCGGGCGGCCGGAACTGCCCAATGAGTTCTTGGAAGTTCTAGAAAGCGTCTGGTGTCAACAGGGAAGCACCTGCCTCGAGAACCGGGGTCGGCGGAACCTTGGGAGAGACGAGTTGGTATTTCTTTTAGTCAGGAGACATTTTCCGATACTCCTCAGGGATGGTCCAGGCAGCCCTCGGCAGAAGCAAGCTCCTTTGCCACGCATACTTTTAAGTCGTAAATCGAGATTAAAACGAAAGCCTTTAAAGCCCGATTTATAGGCGGTTGAGCATTCTTACTTTTTCCTGTATTTTATAAGGGAAAGAAAAACGCATAATAGAATGCCCTAAAAGTTCCTGAATGAGACCGGGCGGGTGGGGCGGGATGGAGGAGAATTGTAAACTTGAAAACTACAGTTTCTGAAGAGAGAAACCTATGAAAATACCAGCTGGTCACCTGAAGCTGGCACCGAGCCTGGAAGCTTCTAAGCAGGGTTAAACTACTACGCAAGGTTTGAAGCATGTGTGTGGATGGATGAGAAAGATAAAGAGTATGTTTGCCTGACCACATGGGACATATATACCTGTTCTTGGTTTTCTAGAAGCTGCCCTACCTAGTATTTAGTATCTTCTGAATTTTTTCCTAGTTCATCCGCATAGCAAGTCTTCATAGGTTTGTGACCAGTTAGTGGGTCCTCGGAACAATTATATATTTGGAAAGATAATCTTGCCACATTTTAAACTTATGTCACACACTATAAATTGATTCATTAAGATCTATCTTAGAGTGTGGTAACAGCTCCTGGGTTCTCAAAGAACACATGTTCTTTTCTGGGAGAGCAGAATCTAAAGCCTGGCAGCTCCCAGCAGGTGATAGGCCCTATGTAACAATAGTTGGATTTTAACTTGCACGAGGTTTAACCAGAGTTCTGGTGGAAACAGCTGAAGGAGGTAGTTTCCAGTCTTGACTGTTAAGAATGAAGCTTCTAAACCACACACTTGCAGCCAGCTCTTCCCTTTAATGGGGAAAATGAGGACAGGTTAAGCAGACAGCTTTCTCCTTAGTGATAAAGCAGCCATTTATAAGCATTAGAGGCAATCATACAACATTTGAAGCTTAGGGATACTTTCTTTAAATTTAAGGATGCCTGCTTGTTTGATTTAATTTGTTGTTGTTAATGGATACCTAATAATGCTAGCTTATCATATACAACTTTAGCAATTTGAAACACCTGCTTTTTAGAATTATTCACTAGAATGAATAACATTTGCATTTTGATATAGAAACAATTTTATCAGTGATTCTTTTTTAATTTTATTTTTATTATTTTTATTTTATGTGTATGAGAGTATTGCTTGCAGGCATGTAAGTGCACCTGTTGGCAATGCCGGCAGAGGTCAGAAGAACTGGAGTTTTGGACAGTTGTTGGCTGCTATGTGGGTGCTGGGAATCAAACCCAGGTCCTCTGCAATAGCAGTCGGTGCTCTTCACCTCTGAGTCATCTCTCTAGTCCTTATCAGTAATTCTCTTAAGTAGGAATTTAAAAGCAAATTTTAGGAGCAAGCTTGGTTTTCACAGATATTCAGAGGCTAACAGTGTCAGGAGTCACTATTATCCTATGGCAAGACTGTTTTTCATAGTTATCTGTGTAATAATATCATATCCTGGACCCTGTGTTCTGATCTGTGGATAAGCCGTTTCCCTTAGGAACTTTTAAAGAATGAGTTTGTGCTCACAAAGATTATCATGAACCCATTTGAGGCAAAGATGACCTTCAAGAATATTAGACTAATGCATATTTAACAGGGCCTTAGAAAGTAACCTATCTAGCTCCTTCTACAAGTAAACAAAGTGATTTGCTCAGAAGTATTTATTTAGTTGCTGAGGCTTGTAAAAGAAGCTAGTTCATAATTCTGGGAAAATGTTCTCTTGTTTCCTTCCTCTCATACCCCCTCCCAGTAATTTATTTTTAAAAAATTATCAAGGCTATTAATTTTTAAGTTATCTCCCATTAAGACCAGTCATTAGGAATTTAGTTCTGGGACTGGAGAGATCACTCAGTGGTTAAGTATGTATACTGCTTTACAGAGGACCTGAGTTCAATTCCCAGCACCCACTCATCAGGTGGCTTACAACTACTTGTAACTCCAGCTCTGAGGGATCTGGCACCCTCTTCTTTTCTCATTAGTACATAGACATGCACATACATCTATAATTAAAAAATAAATATTAAAATTAAAGATGAAGAATTTAATTCTGATATGGTATAGGTACTATGAAAATGTCTTGAGCCGGGCGTGGTGGTGCACTCCTTTAATCCCAGCACTCAGGAGGCAGAGGCAGGCGGATCTCTGTGAGTTCGAGGCCAGCCTGGTCTCCATTAGTGAATCCAGGCCAGCTGCAGCTACAGGGAGACCTTATCTCAAAAAGACCAAAAAAAAAAAGCCTGTCTCAGTTCATTTCTTCAACTTTTGATGTAGTCCCACTTTCAGCCAAGTAAATGGAAATAAATAATAGCCCGTCACCTCTGTCTTTGTCTTTGCTATGTGCATATATTGAAAAGTCAGTATTAACAATTATGTATCCTGAGGGTTATTCTAATAAGATGAATAAAATATTTTATGATAGTATACATGTCTGGTCAAAATAATTTCATGGCTATGTACAAAAAGGCCGTGACCTTTTACAGATAGGATCAAGCTGGCCCATAAAGCATAAATACATCTTCCACAGACCTAGACTGTTCTACTTTTATCTAGTTTGGCAGAACCATTGTCTCCCTTCAGTAAGCTCCAGAGTTTGTTAGTCCTATAACCAGATGCAGGACTGTCTCTTTATCTTAATGTTAGGACACTTGAACTGGCTGTTTACGGCTGGTAGTCAGTCTCCTACCAACCCTTTCTTTTTAAAAGTCAAATTGTGCTACCCTTAACCTAGTATATTGACCTACTAAGTTCAGGTTGCCCTTTACTGAAACTGAAAACTGGACATGCTCTTCATACTATACCCTATGTATTTCCAATACCCTAGCCTAATCTACTGTCACATTTTGGCGCATTTTTTTTTTCAACAGCCCCTAATAGGTCTCCCTGAGTCTATTTTTACTTTCTCTTAGGGAACAGGGTGATATTGGTAGAGTACCTTTGTGATTACATTACAAGTGACTCACACACACCCATACCTCTTCCTATATCTTACACAATCTTCTGCCTCAGCCACCCAAGTAGTGGGGTTACAGGCATGTGCTACCATACACAAGACTTTAGTTTTTTCTTTAACATTTATCTTTTTTCAGTTTACGTCATATATATACATGTATATGGAGTACAATGTGAGATATATATATATATTATATCATAATAAAATGGTAACATCCCCCTAAACATTTATCATTTCTTTGTGCTTGGAATCTTTAGACTCCTGTCTAATTCTTTATAAAATATAATGAGTGATTGTCAACTGTAGTTACCTTGGGGTGGTGTAGAGCACTAGACAAACGCTAACTATATTTTGGTAGCAGTTTCCCAACCCTTCTATATCCCATCACCCATTGCAAGATTTTAATAACCACTATTTTACTCTATACTTTGGTAAACTCAACTTTTTTAGCTTCCACATGTAAGTGAAAATTTGGGGTGTTAGTCTTTCTAGACCTGACTTGCTTATCTTGTATATATAATGTCCGCCAGTTCCATCCACTTAGCTCCCTTATTTTGAAGGTCAAAGTGAGTGAAAATTGCTTGAGTATAAAATCAAACCTTAGAATAAGAATTACCTATTTCAGGGGCTGGAGAGATGATTCAGTGGTTAAGAGTACTGGTTGCTCTTGCAGAGAACAGGGTTTGATTCCCAGCACCCACATGGTGGCTAACAACCATCCAGTTCCAGGTGAATCTGACACCCTCTTCTGATCTCCATGGACATTGCACAACACAACATGGTACACTTCCATGCAAGCAATACACTCATACATAAAAAATAAAAATAATATTGTTTAAAAAAATTTTAAAGTTACCTGTCTCAGACTGAATAGCAAATGCAGGTGTGTTATTGGGAACTAATAGTGATCTACAGGGGACAGCAGTACTGGTGGGTTCAGAGAAGTACAGCAGTGTAAGGGTAGGGTGTGGATGCTGGAACCAGTCTCCCTAGTTTCTAGTACTGACTGTTCTGTACTAAGCATACATTCTGGGACAACTTGTTTAACATCTTCCCTTTCTTTGATTATATAATGGGAATAATAGTTGTAATTACTTCATAGAGTTGTTATTTTATTAAAAGAAGCAAATACATGGGAAGAGCTCGATAAATTCTAGCTTTGAAAACTATCAGTATAAGGACTGGAAAAATGTCTCAGCAGTTAAGAGCACTAGTTGCTCTTGCAGAAGACCCGAGTTCAGTTCCCAGCACGTACATGGTGGTTCACAGCCATCACGTACGTGATCCAGGGGATCTAATACCCTCTTCTGACTTCTGTGGTATCAGGCATGCATGTGATGCACATACATGTAGGCAAACACTCATATACATAATATAAAAATAGATTTATAAAGTCTTTATATAAGAGACGCAGTACAATTTCTTC